GTCATAATACTATATCAAGACTCAGAAAAAGCGTTTGACAAAACTCAATACCCATTCACAAGAATGAAAGAAAAACCAGACAGAGTGGCACACAACTATTTCCAAGTTTAAGAAGGATCAGATAAATTCAGAGTTTAAGAGAAGTTTGGCCAACACAAAAATAAAACAAAACAAAAAAATAAAACAAACAAACAAAAAATCTATATCCTCAAAAGACCAAAATCATGGTGGTACAGGACTACAATCCTGACATTCAGGAAGCAGAAACAGAAGGATCATCAAGACCGGTCTGGTGTATATATCAAGTTCTAGGTCAACCAAGGGCTACATTCAAAATCTTTATAAACTATAAACAAAATTTAAAAAATAAAATGAAACTAAAATCACTACGATAAAAAAAAAATCCCCCATAAATTAGGTGAGTGGGGAATTGTTTTAACTTGATATGGAAAAAAGTCTACAGGCCTCTTTTCCCTTTGGGAGTGCTAAGTTAGGCACTAGCATTGTGTGTGGTACCTCTGCATAGTAGAAAAATATCTGCATAGTAGTAAAATTTTCTGCTTTTCCTTAAAGTTAATTTGTATTTTTCTTTCAGTGAATTTCAGGGTCTTGCTGACCCTCATGCTCGCTTCCTTCCCAAATTCAGTCTTCTCCTTGTGCTCTCCCCTTGTGACACATACTATTTGAAAAATTTTGCTAAAGACCATGGCTGGAGAGATGGTTCACTGATTAAAAATCACTTGCTGCTCTCACAGAGAACCAAAGTTTGTTTCCAAGCACATCTTGGGAAACTTGAACACACATGGTATATACTCATATATGAACATTAAAAAGATACTGGTCAGACTTTATCACACACCATTCTACAGATCTACAGATGACAAGCATATGGAAAGATGCTCTCCAACATAAGTAATGGGGAAATGCTGACTGAAATAATGAAATACCACAGCACATCTAACAGAATGGTCAAAGTACAGAACAGAGGTATAACAGAAATTCTAGTAAGGATGTGGAAAACTCCGAGGTGCTTCCCTCACTCTGGTGGAAATACAAAATGGTACAGCCACTCTGAAGCGCCACAGTTTTCACTTTAAAATTCTAAAAACTCACATGTATTGTTCAGTAATTGTGCTCAATATTATGTACCTGAAAGTCTTGAAAATAATATGACAAGAAAACCAGTAATTAGATCTTTTTGTCAGTTTGAGACAGAGTTTCATGTATTCCACACTATCGTCAAAGTCAGAATGTAGCAGAGAATAACTTCCTGAGCTTCCATCTCTAACAACTAGGATGACGGGCACCCCTAGGCCTCCTTCATTTGGGTCTGGGAATCAAGTTCAGCATCTCGTGTATGTCAGGCAATCACTTTACAAACACAACTACTTCCCCAGCCTTGTTTTTTTGTTGTTGTTTTTTGATTTTGAGACAAGGTCTTGCTCCATAGCCAGAGCGGGCCTTGGACTTTTAATCTTTCTGCCTCAGCTCCCAACTGCTGGGATTACTAGAACACATCAAACCAAATTCATTTATGTAGATCTTTATATCATCTGTATTATAATTGTCAAAACTTAAGAGCAACTGCGATGTTCCTCAGTGTATAACTGAATAAAGAAACTGACATACAGTAAAGCAATGAGGTATTTACTGATGAAAAGACATGAAAATATAAATGCCTATTACTTAATTTGAATTTGTAAGGCCTTCTTCCCCATAAGCCATATGTATAATTTTAAATCGTTTATTTTTATTTTTATGTGTATGGGTGTTTTGTCCGCACCTATGTCTGTGTATCACATGTGTGCCTGGTGCCTAGAGAGGCCAAAAGAGAACATCAGATCCCTGGGACAAAAACTGCAGATGGTTGTGAGCTGTCATGTGGGTGTTAGGAACTGAACCTGAGGGCTCAGCAAAAGTAGCCAGTGCTCTTAAACTGCGATGCCAACTCTCCAGCCCTCAGATAGTTAAGTGACAACTTTCTACAACTTAGAATCACCTCTGACAGAGAGCATGCGTGAAGGATTGCCTAGATAAAGTTGGCCTGTACACATGCCTGAGGAGGGCTGCCTTAATTGTTAACTCATGTAGAAGAACCCTTCACATTATGGGCAGCACCATTACCTAGGTGCTGTGAAGCAAAAGACTATCTATAACAGGACAGCTACCAAAATGAAAACAGAAAGCATGGATGTATTGATTGCTCTCCGCTCTTGACTATGGATGTGGCACAATCAACTATCTCAAGTTCCTACTGTGTGGCTTCCCTGAAATTATGAACCAAAGCTGAAACTATTTAAGCCAAATAAACCTTTTCCTCCCCTAAGCTACTTTTTCTTGTCAGAATATTTTATTATAGTAAAGAAATGAAACTGGAACAATCTGTGAAAGGCTTGGTCATCCAGATGATGCTATGAAGATCTTATTAGTTTTTTATGGTAAATTGTTAGGTTATTGAGAATACGTTCTACAAGTGGATTGTGAAACCCCAATTTCAGTGTCTCCATGTCATGGTTCATTAACATGTGCCACCTGATCCAACACATACATGAAACATGATATGCTAAGAGAGAAAGGGACCAACTAACATTAAACAATAGTCACTAGAATCATAAGCCTAAATATACCATTTATTATATAGGCTAACTATCCTAGTTCACTATATTAATGTGAAACTGACTCATGCAAAGGGTGAAAAAGAAGCCAAACAAAAAGGTTAGATACTGGGTATATGAAGATACTAAAAAGATCAGTGATTACCAAGAATTGGCAGGATGGAGGCTGACTAGATAAAGCAAATACTTACAAGTTCAGAAAAAAAAAAAGTACTGTATAATAACAATGTGTACATAATTATCTATTTATTCAAATTGATATGATATGCAACACAGAGTGCGACCCACAAACGTAAACTATGGATTTAACATGACTGTGACACGTCACAATAGATTTACAGGCTTTGATAATGTTCTAGGTTGATAATGGAGGAGTGCCTGCCCAGGTAGGGTTATATGAGAAATCTCCACATATTCCTCTATTTTGCTGTGATCTTAAAATTAACAAACAAACAAACAAAAAAATACAGACTGTTTTGACTGGGAATATGTCTCAGTAGTATAGTGCTCACCTATTACATATACATGAGGCTCTAGGCTTGATTCACAGCACCACAGACTTGTAATACCAAGAACAAAGACATAAAATACCAAGTATAGTACTTAGGAACTTCTGCCTGGGGAAAAAAAATATCAAAACTTTCTTTTCCCCTGGTACTGACTATAAAAAGGGAAAGAGGTACTAAAACCACAGGATTCATGATACTATTTGAAAATTCAGGACTGGCAATCAGATATTTATAACACATGACTTGATATTTTGTAATTTTCTTCTTTGCCATCGTATTATAATTTATGTGAGAACAGAATATGTGGTTTTTCTATCCAGGTATAGTGGCACACACCTTTATTCCTAGTACTCGGGAGGGAAAAGCAAGCAGATCTCTGTGAATTTGAGGCCAGCCTGGTCTACAAAGCAAGTTACAAAACAGCCAGAGATGTTAGACAGAGAAACCCTGTCTCAAAAAAACAAAAATCAAAATCAAAACGAAAGAATATGTGCTTTTCCAAATGCTTCTGGTATTTTTCTCCTATTTCTAGACAGTTTTACTTCTAAGAAGACAGACATGCATCTTCTCTAATGCCCACAAATCCACTCTGTGCCCAAAACGGAAGATTAAGAATTATTTTACACCTATTTCAGAGAACATAAACTGGCAACAGAAATTGGCACTGAGTCACCAATTCTTGGTAAATATGAACATAATAACCTTCTTTCAAAGTGCATTCTTTTTTATTATTTATTTATTTATTTTGTGAGCAATATTCTGTCTGTGTGTATGTCTGCAGGCCAGAAGAAGGTACCAGACCCCATTACAGATGGTTGTGAGCCACCATGTGGTTGCTGGGAATTGAACTCAGGACCTTTGGAAGAGCAGGCAATGCTCTTAACCTCTGAACCATCTCTCCAGCCCCCTCAAAGTGCATTCTTATGTTTGGTTAATATGACTTTAGAAGAAATGAGGAAAATTTTTCTATTTTTTTTTCTTTCTTGTTTTTCCAGACAGGGTTTCTTTGTGTAACCCTGTTACACAGGCTGTCCTGGAACTCGCTTTGTAGAACAGGCTGGTCTTAAACTGACAGGGATCCACCTGCCACTGTCTCCCAAGTGCTGGGATTAAAGGCCTGAGCAACTAGTGCCAATTTTCCTGCTTATTCTCGACAAGACTTTTCAAGGTTGTCAAAGTATACACTGGAATACATAAGGCAGGAGGAAGAAGGAAAGTACTCTAGAGAGAAGAAACTTCACCTTTCCATGTGAGGGCCTGTAATATGAGTGAGTCTGTGGTGAGCTAAAGGAACTTAATACACATGTGCACGTTTTTTTTTTTTTGGGGGGGGGGTTGAGACAGGGTTTCCCTGTGTTGCCCTGGTATTCAAATCTGTAGACTAGATTGGCCTCAATCTCAGAGATTCACCTGCCTCTGCCTCCTGGGTACTTAGATTAAAGGCTTGCACCACCCACAACCAGCTCATGTGCAAATATTCTAAGACTGCAACATTTTAAACTGTTATAAAAGATACTCAACAGTTCCAGTTACCACACATTCCTCTGGTAGTCACTATGCTCCTTTAATAAAATTTCCCAGCAGGTTCACTATTTAATTATAGCATTAATTTTACCAGGAAACTCAGACTATTCATGACAGAATATTCATTATTTCATGAACTCAGCAAGTTCTCTTTAAATCCATGATTTGCTTGAAAACACCTGTAATACTTCTTTTTTAGACAAGTTATCACACAATTGCTTAGGATGTCCTGAAACACACTATGCAAACCAGGTTGGCCTTGAACTCACGATAATAATATTTCTTTGGCCTCCCAAGTGTTGGAACTACAGGCCGATGTGCTCTGGGCTCTACAGTATTCTGGAAAACTAACCTCTTGCAGGACTGGGATAACTGGTGGCTTTCTTTGCTGCAGAAAGTACAGCACCATAAGGATATACGCATACGAAGATAAACTTCCCCGAGATGCATCTCCAATGTCACAGCGCTAGAAGATAGAATGATTACAAATAAAAATTAATATTCTAATTCCACAAGCCTGACTCTGATAAGCCATTCTGTTTTTATTTATCCATTCATTCATTCATTCATTTTTGAGGCAAGGTATCTCTCTCTATGGAGTTGTGGATGTCCTGGAACTCACTTTTCAGATCAGGGCCTCGAATTCAGAGATTTACCTGCCTCTGCCTCCTAAGCACTGGGATTAAAGGTTTGCATCTGATCATGCCTAGCAACTCTCTAAAAATGAGTTTAATAAAATGTTAGGAAAAACAGTTAAGCACTATGAAAATAAAAGAAGCAAAACAAATGTAATGACCTAGTATTTCCATTCCAACAATTATTTTTAAAAATGTATATAATAACAAAAAATTTGACTTTAAAATTGGAATAGTTATAATAGCAAAACCTTAGGGGAAAACTAGTTTATCAGTAAAGTTTAGGATAAAAGCACTGGAGCTATCTAACACAAACAAGTAGCAGTACTTACTATTTTTTAAAAAATTAATTAAATTAAAAAAAAATAAGGGTTGGGAAAATGGCTCAGTGGAATAGAGAGCAATTACTGTGAAAAACAAGAGGGGCTGAGTTCAAACCCCCAATTTCCACATAAAAGCACAGAAGGGCTACATGTGCCTATGAACCCAGCACTGAAGGGCAAAGACAGAAACATTCTGGGAGCTTATGGTTCAGCTATTTTTTTAAAAAACCTCAGAGACCAGCCAGGCATAGTAGCACACACCTTTAATTCTAGAATTTAGGAAGCAGAGGCAGCAGGATCTCTGTGAGTTTAAGGCCAGCCTAGTCTACAGAGCAAATTCCAGGACAGCTGAGGCTACATAGTAAGACCTTATAACAAAAATAAATTTAAAAACCTAAGTAAATAAATTAAAATGCAATAAAAGCTCAGGTATAATTTAGGAGATTAAAACAGAAAGATAACTTAAGTCAAATAACCATAGCAAGACCCTATCTTAAAAGAGAATGAAGAAAAAAGAAAAAGAAAACTATATAAATAAAATTGAGACAGCATTTTTCACAAGTTTAATGCCAGTACGTTTTACTTTAGCTATCACAGTAGTACTACATAACAAAACAGATGATTTAACTTCTTCATAGTACCTTGGCAAACACTTTCATAGTATATCCCAAGTACTGTACTCTAGGATCAATAGCTGCATAAGTAGCAAGCATTCTTGTGTTGTGTTGAGCCTGAAAAAAAAAATACATATTTGAAATCATTTAATATATACTAATAAACTTACAAATCATGTAAAAAGATACAATAAGCTGTAAATAACATATCGAAATTTCAAAATGCCTAACAATTAGTCAAACAAATCAATCTCACTCTGAAATCAGTATCAAAACTAAAATACATTTTCCTTACACTGCTCAGAGTTGAGAATTTACACACACCAATAATCTGTGAAATTTTTTTTGTGAATAAAGAAAAGTGGGAATGCAGTGCCCCTAGTATCAAAAATTATACTATCAAGTTTCCCACATTTGCAGGATCGGTCAGCATATCCAGTGTAAACCACCTAAGTAATCAAGGTATCTTCCCAGCCAGGAAAGTCTATCTGTCAACTTTTAAAATTAAAAGTATAAACCAATAATAAACATAACTAAGAAGACGATCACAGACATTTCCATTCACAATAGCCTCAAAGAAAATAAAGTATCTACAAACAAACCTAAACAAGGAGGTGAAAGATTTCTACAATGTAAACTATAAATCACTGAAGAAAAAAATAAGACACTAGACATACCACACTCATGGACTGGTAGAATCAATATTGTGAAAATAACTTTCAGTCAAAAATCATTACAGATTCAATTCAACCCAATAAAAATATCTACCTCATTCTTTACAGAAATAGGAAAAACTATCTAAAAACTCATATAGAAACATTAAAGAGCATGGAGAGTCAAAAAAATTCTGATCTTAAGATATATCACAGAGCCATAATAATAAAAACACTATGATACAGGCATATAAAAAGTCATGTAGACCAATGGCCAAAAGTAAAGACCGAAAAATGATATGCCAAACTACAGTCATCTAATATTTGACAAAAATGCCAAAAATATAAGTTGGAGAAAAGACAGCATCTTCAAAAAAATGTCCACATGCAAAAGAATCAAATTATACCGGTATCTATCACTTTGTATAAAAACTCCAAGTAGATCAAAGACCTAAATCTGAATCCTGAAAACACTGCAACTGCTACAAGAAAACAAAGGTATAGGTGTACGAGAGGACTTTCTAAATTAAGAGTGCACTTGCCCAGGAACTGAGCCAACAATTAAGGACCTCATGTAACTAAAAAGTTTTGCATAGCTAAGAAACAATGGTGGCGTACACCTTTAATCACAGCGCTTGGGAGGCAGAGGCAGGCAGATCTCTGGGAGTTCCAGGCCAGCCAGGTCTACAAATTCCAGTTTAGTCAGAACTGTTACACAGGAAAAATCTGTCTTGAAAAAGCAAACAAACGAACAAATAAAAATGAGAGAGAAAAGAAACAATCAAGGAAAGAGAAAATCCACAGAATGGTAGAAAATCTTTGCCATCTGTAAATATGACAAAGAACTACTATTCAGAATATATAAAGAATTTAAAATACAGTTAAAGAAAAAAAAACCCAAATAATCCATTCAAAACTGGGCTTAGGATTTGAACAGGGAGTTCTTTTTGCTTGTTTTGTTTCTTTTTTCAAAGGTAGGGTTTCTCTGTATAGCTGGATGTCCTGGAACTTATTCTGTAGAACAGGCTTGCCTCAAACTCAAAAGATCCACCTGCCTCTGTCTAGTGGATTAAAGGTGTGCACCACCACACCCAGCTCAGTAAGTTCTTTTTAAAAATAAAAATGGCTGAGAAATATCTCCAAAAAATGTCCATCATCTCTAACAATTAGGATAGCACAAAACAAAACAACTTTGAGATTTCATCTTATCCCATAAAAAACCAAGAAACAATAAATGCTGGAGAGGATGTGGTGAATCCTCATCTTCTACTGGTGGGACTGCAAACTTCTACAGCTAGTCTGGAAATCAGTGTGAAAAACTCTCAAAAAGCCACAAATAAACCTACCACATGAGCCAGTTACACCTCTCTTTGGCATATGCCCAAGAGCCAACATCCCACTCTACAAATACTTGCTCAGCTATCTTATCGGCCACCCCATTCATACTAGATGGAACAAAGTTACAAAAATGTATTTCAACTGATGAATGGGTAACGAGAATTTGGTACATATACCCTAGGGAATATAATTCAGCTGTAAAGAAAAATGATGTCATGGAATAGGAAGGTAAATGGAAGGAACTGGGAAGAATAAAAATTTGGCATTGAGTGAAGTAACCCAGATCCACAAAGATAAACACATGATGGTCTCTCCCATCTGGGGTTTCCTAGGCGCAGATCTTCAGATGTGAGTATATAACCTGAAGTAACTAAAGAAGCCAGAAAAGGTTTAAAAAAAAGAAAAGAAAAAGAAAGAAAAGAAAAAGAGAAAGGAAGGAAGGAAGGAAGGAAGGAAGGAAGGAAGGAAGGAAGGAAGGAAGGAAGGAAGGAAGGAAGGAAGTTCTTCTGACACAGGACCTAAAAGAGCCAATCTAGTTCTAGCCCAAAAGCCTCCTCACTGAGGACTAGCTTTTATACCAGAAGATTCCATGCACGCTTCCGAGAGGGAAGTAACCAATATTCCTATTCAGCTATGGTGCCTACAAGCTAAAACAAAGGCAAGCATGACACCATATCAAGGGTGCAACAGTAGTAAACATGCCTTGGTTACCTTGGCAGTAACCAATGTCTTTTTAATTAGACTTAAGGCCAGCTCAATAAGAGGAAAATCATACCTGGTACTGCAACTTTATCAACTACCAGGGTCCAGTGAATTCATGGATCTACACTCTATACATATTTATCTTTCTACCTGGAGAAGCTACATCTCTGTGTAACAGATGGAGATCATTACAGAAAAGCAACACCAGTCAAATGCAAAAAAACAAGTGACCATGTGAAAGAAGCCCAGCCTACACTGATCCACCTAAAATTCAGCTCTTGAACCTAAGGCTCAGAAATCATAACAGAAGACAGGGCAGGAAGATTTTAAGGGTCACAGGAGAGGACATTTGCTAGAAATTTCAGAGACATGAAACCCATCAAGTCTCAACAATATAGCTGTCTAAACAAGACCTAAACAAGAACTACACCCTAAAATGAAAGGGAAACTCATGGGACCTCAACCCTAGAAAAGAGACTAAGGGAAACTAAGGAAAGCTAAGAGCAGGAGAATAGTCTTCCTAGGAAAGAACACAAATTGGTTATCTAATACCAAGTGATCAGCTTTGAAATTATATACATACAAGCTAGTAACTTTATATGAACTGAACAGGTTGTAGTTATTTATATATTTAGGAATATACATACATAAAACATATGTAAGGCATATACATACACAAAATTAAAGAAATAAATGCCAATAAATTGTGGAAAGAACAAAGATGCATGGGAAAGGTGGAAGGAAAGGGAAGAGAGAAAGGGATGTAGTTATATTTTAATATCAAATATATATATATAATATCAAATACACACACATATAGTTAAAATATAAAAAAACACAATTATAGCTGGGCCTATAAAGAATATCTTACCAATGTGTTATATAGACTGATATCACCCTCTAGTCCACTTCGTCTGTGTTCAAATTTTACAATAGGCACTTTGGCAGTAGTTATAGGCAGAATGTTTCTTAAACCTGAGGGTGAGGGAGCAAAATCTTAAGCAAGTTAAATACATTTATAATGCAAAAGAGTACTTTTTTCAAAAAGATAAAATTTTACCTGGATGCCTCTTAAGAATTTTCGCCAAATTTTCAATTATTTCCTTACAGTTTAATTTCTGGAAAAAAATAAGTAAGAAAGTAGGGTTCAATTCTACCTACTGTAAATTCTGCTTTAACCACTTTGTATTTAATACTAGTACTTAAAATTTCTAATCATAACGAGCTGTATAACCTTGTTAACTAAGTAACAATTCAAGGAACCCCATCATCAACATAACCCTGCAACCTGGTAGAATTGCCTTCCTAATATGTATGCTACTAAGATCCCAAGGTTATTCAAACAGATTGAAGTCTGAAAAGCACGAAGAGAGTGAAACAGTTTTCAATATGTGAATCTGTTTTTTACAGAAACTTAACTATGATATCCACTCTTTTGGTTTTGAATGGGTGAAGAATAAAACAGTAAGCATCAAAACAATGAATGTTAGATCAGACATATAATCCAGCAGAAGCTACCAGGGAAGCCTAGGTAACAAAGCAGCAAGACCCTTTGAATAAGAGGTTTACTTACTGTTTTCCTGTTTCAGTCCTGGTACTACATATTCAATAAACTCACTCATTTAAAAAAAAAAAAAAAGGTACAGATATTGTAGACCATTTAAACTGTAACTGTTGTAAAAATCTTTAAGATGCCATTTCTGCTAAAACTTACAGAATGAAATTAAAGATAGGTTTAATGAGGGCAAATCACTTAATGATGAAGAACATAACACAGGGACCCAATTTAGACAAAGTCAGATTCAAATTTGAATTATTAACTATCTGCATGATTGATCCTTAACATCCTCAAGCACTACACTACTACTCTACAAAGTCAAAATAATCGTAAATTCCTGCCCTACAGAATTGCTGGAGAATTACCTATTAACAAGCATTCAGCAGCACAGAGGTAGTGTCGCACGTCTTTAATCTCAGCACTCAGGAGGCAGAGGCAAGATCTCTGTGAGTTTGAGGCCAGCCTGGTCTTCAGAGAGTTTCAGTACCCTGGGCTGCTACATAGAGAAACCCTGTCTAAGAAAATCAAAATCAAACAAACAAACAAAACCCCCCAAAAACAAAACAAAACAAAAAACCCCAAAAATAAAAACCCTGCAAGTGTGATGCAGGAAATACACCTAAAATTTTTGAGATAATTATTATTACTGTTATTATGTGTTTTGTGGGTTTAGTTTTGCTTGTTTGTTTCTTTTGGTTTTTGTGTAGCCCTGGCTGGCCTTGAACTCATAGAGCTGGGAATAAAGGCATGAGCCCTCGTGCCTGGTTTCTATTATTATTATGTTGATGATATACATAAACATAATTCTATTACTACAGCACCAACTTCCTCAAGGAAATTTAACCCTCTGCAAATTTAAATGTTATTTTTTAAGAAGCAGAGACAGCAAAATATAGCAATGAAAATGGAAATAGTAAACAGAATAATAGCTTTATAAATTAAGTGTATTAAGTTAAAAAGCATAAAAAAAAAATCAATCCTAACTATCATCATACATTTCTTTCATTACAAGAAAAAAGAGTCTATGCAGGTAAATCTGGAGATTTCAACAGAATTATCAGTTACTAATTCACATACACTAAAAAGGCGAGGTAACTACTCTTTACTGTGTTAAATATGTAATTATGACAACCTTTTAAAGAGTTAATAACTCATCTGGAATAAAGTATTTTGTTCTTTTTAACTGTCTCAACTTCCCTACTTGCAATTCAAATCTAAATATTAAAGTTAATAAAGAAGTCATCTAAGTCTCTCTTCTTGTAGACCAAAGTCTACAACACAAAGAAGAAAAAAAACCATGATCACAATCCCACTGCTGAGACTGTACTGGGAAAAACATCTCCTTACATGTCAAGGTTATTCAGAGAGCTTTCTACTTCATAAAGTAAAGGTTAGGTTCTACGTTACCATTAATACTGCATTTTATATTATATTAATACTGCATCAATATTTTGCTGCATTATCAGCTAAAAAAAATAACAGAAAGGCAGTGAGATATAATATGAAGAGCAGGAACCACACAGCCCTGGACACAAATGCTGGCTTCATCATGTTCAAGGTGAGTGAGGTACAGTTAAATAAATCAATGTCTTTTCTTTTTTTGTGTGTGGGAGATATGTTTATTTATTTATTTACTTATATGAAGGAAGTAGGAGCACTATGGCACATAGAGAGGTCAGAGGACAATTTGTTGAAGCTATTTCTCGCCTTCCACCATGTGGCTCCCAGGATCAAACATAGGTTTTCAGGCTTAGAAACAAGCATCTTTACTTACTGTATTATCTCTACAGCCCCCAGTTTATCTTTCAAAGCTTCAGTCTCATTTTGAAAATGGGGTAATTAATATCTACCTCAAAATGGGTTAAGAATAAAAAAGGATAAACCATCTATAAGCGGCACCCAAAGCAAAATTTCTAACCTTCAGTTATTGCAACATTGCTTCTATGTAAGTAAAGTATCAGTTATTGCAATATTGCTTCTATGTAAGTAAAGTATCAGTACCCCAAAATTATAATTAATTTTTAGAATATAATCCATTTATAAACTGAACAACTACCTGCATTTTCTACTTGCAGAGTATATAACACACACACACACAGAAATAGAGAGAGAGAGAGAGAGAGAGAGAGAGAGAGAGAACAGAGTAAACCAAACAGAAGTACCAGCTTCTCATTGGTTCTAATAAGAGTCCAACTTATAGTAAGCTAACTTTTCTTTCACCCAATTCATTACTAGACCCTTGAAAGTCTTAAAGATCTATTTGTTACATTAAAACAGGATGAACATCCATGTCTGGGTCTGTGGTTCATGTTGTCAGAGGGCTCTGTGGATGCCCAGGGTCTAGTGCCCAAGGGCCATGCTGCCACAGGTGCTTGTGTTGCTCTGGGTGGGGCCACCAGGGCTGTGGTGGCATCCAAGCCTTAGCTGCAGCAGAGGCCATGTCTGGTCCATGGTCCTGCTGCAACTGGGGTGTGTGGTGATGCCCACAGAAGGAGTTAAATGGGATCATTGGAACTATGCTGTGCTGAGCCAGCCCTGCCCTTCATTGGCCTGGGATGGCTGCCCCTGCCCCCTGATGGATACTGCAGTAGGCAAGCTGTCCTTATCCCTCAGGGGAGAGCTCCTCTCGCCTGCACTAGGGAAAGATGGTCCCATCCCTCACCACAGGCATGCACCTCACCTGGATAGCACACTAGAGCTGATCTCCACCCCTCCCACAGTCTGCCAGTGGTGGTATAGGTGAGAGAAAGATGCTTTCCCTGCTCACCCATTACCACTGTAGCAAGTGAGAGAGGTCGCCCTGGGATCACAAGAGTGGGAGAGCTAGCCATAACTGGCTACAGAGCACAAGAGAGGCAGGCTCTGCTTGCCCACTGGGCAGCACACTAGGGATGACCCTGTTGTCAGGGAAGCAGGTGAATCAGCCCTGCGGGCATGAGAGCAACAGAACTGACCTACCTGCCCCCCCACCATCTGCCATGTGGTAGCATGGTTGAGGGAATGATGCCCCCCTCATTCCTTACTACCTGTGGCAGGCAGGAGAACTGGTCACAGGGTCACAAGAGAAAGAGAAAATTAGCTGCAGCACAGAAGAGAGGGGTCCCTGCACCGTGCCTTGGTAGTATACTAGAGCTGACCACTGGGGGTGGGAGGCACAAACACAAAAGTGACCCTACCCTAAGGGCATGAGAGCAGGAGAGTTAACCCTGCACACCCTATCCTTGTATTCAACCTACAGCAATCAGAAGAAAAGGCCCTGCACCTTGCTGAGCTGACCCTGGTGATGTGAATGTGGGTGACCCAGATATGAGGGCCTGAGAGCAGGACAACTGGCTTGACTCCTAGCTGTAGGCTGAACTGGGCAAGCTGTCCAAAACAGTGCTGGAGAGCTCACCTGGATCGTGATGACGAGCATGGTTCCACTGACCCCCATGGCTGACCAACCAGGCTAGCACCCAGATCCAGAAGCAGGGCTATGAACTGACCCACCCCAACATTCCCTGAACCTATAAATTGCTGGAGCATGGGAAGGGGATGAGTCAACAGATCCAAAACAGCAGGACGTCCATGCCAAAGGACAACAACAGGATATCCAAAAGGAGCCCCAGTGAGAGCCCATTTATACATGGTGTAGCAGAAACCAAAGGCGTCCAATCAGACCAATGGCTTGCAAGGAAAGATCAAAGGCCTAAAGGGTAAACTGTGTGACTCAACAGGCCACACTACAACTTCCACAAGATTCTTCTTTATTTTTTGCTTATTTCTTTGTTTTGTTTTTTTGTTTTGTTTTGGTTTTTGGGTTTTTTTTTTTTTGCTTTGCTTTTAAATTTGATTTTGACTCGGGGGGAGGTTGTGAGGGCAGAAGGAAGATGTGAGGAGACATGGAGAAAAGTAGGATCAGAATACATGATGTAAAATCCACAAAGAATCAAGAAATGTTTTTTAAAAAAACAGTATAAATAGTAATTTTACTTTAAGTCTGAATATTTTTAACAATTTCCACAGAGGCAAGTTTGAGAATCTTCTAAATCCATAATGCTAATGCTTCTATATTTCAAACACTACTACTAAACCAATGATACAAAAATGACAACATGCATAATCAATATCACATATAAAATTAAAACATTAACCAATAGACAAAAACAAACTTTCAAATCCTTTACAAATATTAACTCTTATCTCTGTATTTTCTTTTTTTTAACTTTTATTTCTTTATATTTTATATATGAGTGCTCTGTTTGCCAGCAGAGGGCACCAGATCCTATTACAGACAGTTGCTGAGTCACCATTAGGCTGCTGGTAACTCAGGACAGGACCTCTGAAGAGCAGCATCAGCACTCTTGACAGTCACGGCATCTCTGCTTCCCTTACCTCCGCATTTTCATGGCCTTCCAGAGTCATACAAATATCCAGATCACTATCACGGAATCCAAATCCATTCTTTGAAGAACCAAATAAGCACAATCTTGCCTTTTCTAAGCTCAAGAAAACAAGTCAAAGAACAGGTCAGAGGAGTCATCAAACATCTACCAATAGTTTAACACAAAGTGCTACATTGGGAAAATCCGAAACATCCAACCCCAGCTAGGATCTTTTGTTTATTCTTAAACGCAAGTAACTAAAACATCAACTCTCAGCAAACAGTATCATTATCTATTTAGAAGCTTACCAAAAATATGAGATCCTTAATACCTTGTTCAACCTGCATAACCACTAAGACCTTCAGCTTCTTCCAACTGAACTATATCTACCACCTACTGCTGTTCTTCAACAACAGTACCAAAGACTAAGTTCAGTATCTGATAACTCATCTCTTAAAAGTAAACTAGTTCTTTCGGTGTACAATTCAAGTACTTTTAAATTATCCCCTAAATATATAGGGTTAATTTTTCTCCCATAGTCACTCTAATTCACTAGATATAAATCATGTTAGTTATTTCTTCTCAATTAAGAGTTCTGTAACACTACTTTTCAAACAATTTGTAACTTAAAGTTTAATTACACATTTGTATTAATGTATTTATTAGTTGGGGCATATCAACATGCACATGTGGACAGAAGACAACTTGTGTGGATTGGATCTCTCCTTTCACTGAGTGGGTCCCGGAGACTAAATTCAGACTGTCAGCCTTAGTGGCAAGTGCCTTTACCTGCTGAGTCATTTTGCTGACCATTAATTACACAGTTAGACAACAAATCCCATACTTTGAAAAAAAATTCTTCCATGTAATATTGATTAAATTTGAATGATAATTAAGAAGGATAAAAGAAGTTATAGTGGCCACTTCAGCAGCTCATATACCAACACTGGAACAATAGAGAGATTAACAAGGTCTCTGTGTAAAGATGGCATATAAATTTGTGATACATTCTACGTATTTTTAAAACTTTATATGAACATGTGAACGTGCACCATAACACATGTGTAAAGGGTGGAGAGCATTTCATGGAAGTTCGTTGTCTCTATTCACCTCATGGGTATAAGGAATCAATTCAGGTCAGTAGGCTGAGCACCTTTACCCAAAGAGCCATCTCACTAGCACAGGAGTTCCACATTTTTATGAGTTTTACTTTAAATCCTATTAAAATAAAACATCCTTTAAAATATTCTAAATATAAAATGCTTCAAAGCATGAGACTTTATTTTTCAAATATACAATATATTCATAAAAACAGCTACGATGATCAAATAAAATTGAGTATGAGTTTTATTTAAAAGAGCGGGGGCAGACTTAAAATTGGTCTGGACCTCATCAATTAGGATAGCTGGCCAGTGAGCACCAGGGATAGGAAGCCTGTTTCTGCCTCCTCAGTACTGAGATTAAAAATGTGTGTACACATGTGTGCGTGGGCATGCATGCAACTGCTTGTAGTGACCAAAAGAGTGCTGAATCTCTAGAATTACAGTTCACTGGACACTAGTGCTGAGAACCAAACTCAGGTTCCCTGAAAGAACAAGTGTTCTCAACCACTGAGGCATTTCTCCAGTCCTTGCACCCTATGTTTTTACATTGGTTCTGGGAATAAAACTCAGGTCCTCATCTTTACAACACTTAAAGTGAGCTATCTGCCCAGCTCTAAATAAATTACTGTGAATACCCTTTTCTAAATTACTTGATCATAAACCTCTTGATTGTCTAAGCTCATTTAAAAAAAAAACTGTTCTGCTATTTTGGAGCAAAAGCCTTCAGATCGTGCTTAGTTTTTCTTTCCATTATATCACACATGCACTAGCAATTCCTGCTAGCTCTACCTTCAAATATAACCCAATTCTGACCACTTACCTCCTCCACATCTGTGCTTCATCTGTACTTACATCACAGTTCTCTGCAATGTTCTTGCTTGTACTCTTAGAGTGTTATACTCTGTTCTCTGAGATGATTATTATTTAATGATATAAATACTGTATAGCTCTCATTAAACAAAAAGTCTTTCTACCAATGTCCAAATGGTCCTAATGATCTAATCTTTAGGATACCTCTATGACCTCATCTTTCTATTAAAAAGTATCTTACACATTCCACTTCAGACACACTGGACCTCCAATGAGTCTTATAAGAATGTCAGTCATAATCTAAGACTTAGTATCCACTCTTTCTTTCTATAATGTTCTCTCCTTGGAAATTCATATAATGTGTTCCTTCATATTTTTCAGACTCAACTCAAATGCTACGTCATGAGAGATTTACTACACAACCTCTCACTTCTTTAATCACCATAGTCTTAACAGCATTTACTATTTACTGATATATTTATATGTATTTAACTTGACTGCTATTCCCTCTTAAATATACTAATGACAGAAGTTTCTCTTTTATGAGTAATACAGTCACAGAACCTAGAATAGTACTTAACATATAACAGTTAACAAAAATTTTAAGTCAGTCAAAATCAAAACCATGTGATTACAGTAACAATAACAGCCAACATTAAGCCTATAACATACCATCATACTCTTTTTGAATAAATTTTTCCAAGCCAATTAAAATTTGCTCCCTGTTGTGTTGTTCAGAGCAAGGTGGTGATAATTCATCTATATGAAAAAGAGAAAGAAAAGTGAGAAAATTAGAATGATAATTTCTTCAGGCTTTTAACCTAAAAATTTTGACTCAATATTATCACTACTTATTTACTTTTATGAATTTAATACCATAGATGGTATTAGAGAAAGGACAGGGGGCAGAAAAAGATTTAAAATATATGTATATTATACATGATAATTTTCCCTACGGTCTACAAATATATTTACCTTTTAAAAACCAATACTGTCTTCTTCAGACATTTAACTCTTTCCACGTTCACATTTCCCTCTTTCTGTGTTCAGTTAAATAAGTATCTTGTCAAAATTTCCATTTTCCCTATTAGCTACTCTACCTCCCTGCAGCTGAGACCTCACCTTCACTGAAATTCTTTACTATTTCAAATTGCCTGCGACAGAATAGCACGGTTTTCTAATGTTTGTTCTGTTTTCCAGTCTTCATTTACATTCCTGTTTCATTCCCAATAGGATCAAGCAAATATCTTAAGAACAGTCTCCCTCACTCCATCGCTTCCAAAGCCTCACACCCAAAACTCTACAATAGTAACAAAAGTAATGCAAGAACTTACTTAAATATCTGTTATGATTAGCTAATTCAGTATTTATCCTTATAAAAGAAAATGTATTAGGCTGAAATGATGGTTCTGTGGTTAAGAACACTAGGTGCTATTCCACAGAACCCAGATTCAATCCCCAGCACCCAGATAATGGCTCACAACTGTCTCTAACTCCAGTTCTAGTGGCCCCAACACTTTCTTCTGGCTCTGAAGTCAATGTACACATATTGTGTACAGACATAATTGCAGGCAAAACCCCCAAGCACATAAAATAATTTTAAGAATAAAAACAGCAATAATAATTTTTATAAGCAAATATATGAGTACTCATAGTAGAGAGAAAAACTGAGCAGATGGAATACAGTTGCTTTCTTTTCAGTTTGGAGCTGTGAAACTATTCTATATAATATTCTCCTTATGGATATGGCTTAGTTAAGTACATGTATTACAAAGAGATTTGGTCCTAGACCAGTATGCTATAGATGGAACCTTTAAGAGGTATAACAACAGGAGGAAGTCTTCTAACCATAGGAAGCATGTCCTTGAAGAGTGGAAACACTGGAATCCTACATACTTCTTCTTCTCTTTTGCATAACAACTTTGAGAAGTATGGTTTTAACAGACCATAAACTTCTGCTACAATATACCACCTCATCATAGGCACAAAGTGATAGGTTAAATCCCCTCAAATATGAGCCCAAATAAACCTATTTTTATTTTTTTAAGTTGAACGCTCTGAAATTTAGATTAATATGATTAAATTCTAACACAAAAATCCTGGAACCAAGAACACCAAGAGTAAACTGAAGTGAATGAGAACAAAGCATAAGTTAATGATATATATTTATAACCATCCCAAGGAAACCTACTACTTTAAAGGCTAAACGAAAAGAAAAACTGTTTTAAGGTAAACAAACTTTACAAAATGATACGAGATAAAAGTATCTCAGAATGGAATGCAGACTGGCGAAAGAATCTATTTTATAAATGTATGAAAAGCCTTCATTCAAGGGAGGAGTGGGACAAAAGTACTGAACCAAAGCTATTTTGAAAATGAATGTAAGCCTGGTCTAATGAGTTCCAGGGCTACAGAGACCCAGTTTCAAAAGACAAAACAAAACAAAATAGCTGAGTGGTGGTGGCACACCTTTAATCCCAGCCATTGGGAGGCAGAGGCAGGCAGTTTGAGGCCAGCCTGGTTTACAGAGCTACTTCTAGGACAGCTAAGGCCACACAAAAAAACCCTGTTTCTTGAAAAACCAAACTAATCAACCAACAAAACAGCAATCTGTTTGAAAGAAAGGAGAAAAAAAAACACAAAAAACAATGAGTGCAATCTCTAAATTTAAGGCCAAAAGAAAATATATAAGCACTCAACTCTGATGACTTTATTTCTCAGGAGTTTCACTTAACAGTTTTGAAACTGCTAATCAGGTGTACTGAAATGAAACAAATAGTTTTTAATAATAGATTATGAGAACTGGATTTCTACTTACAAGAGAAGAGGAAAGAATGAAGAATGTAATGGCTTAGGTTCAGAGAAGAGACTGTGAAATCATGTTTAGGCTAACATAAGTAAGATGACTGCATATAGAAAAACTTATAGGTAAGTATATATCCATATGGATTAATATTGTGAGATTAATATTTCTTGCTGAGATAGTCTAAAAACAACAACATTGCAATAATGTTAAGAACACATGATGGCCCAGCACTCAGGAGGCAGAGGCAGGTGGAGCTCTGTGAGTTCGAGACCAGCCGTGTCTACAGTAGCTAGTTCCAGGACAGGCTCCAAAGCTACAGAGAAACCTTGTCTCGAAAAAAAAAGAACACATGACGGGTGTAGTGACACAAACCTGCAAACCTTTAAACTCTGCACTTGAGAGGAACAAGTGGGCATGCCTCAGATTTCGGCTAGCCAAGGTTACTTAGTGAAACTCTGTCTCAAAAACAAACCATCAACAATAAAACAGAACACTTCCAATTCACATCTTGAAACCTACTATTCTCCAATGAAAGAAATTAAGGTACCTTGGAGAAAAGTCTAACTTTAGTACTATGTTAGAAAACATGCACAATGGGCCTGGGGTATCTTGTGGTACCCTAAGAAAGAAGCCTAAAAATGATTTTAAAAAACCCACACACTGATGGAGTTATTTCAGACACACAAGGTCCAATAAGTTATATTGGATTACACCCAAAAGTATGAGATGTCCATGAGTAAACAATGAAATAAAGAAATGACTATTTACAGAGGTAGTAGACTATAGCTTAATAAAGCCACTCTAAGAAAAGATGCTATCAGCTAGGCATTGTAGCACACACCTTTACCCAGTGCTAGGAGGCAGAGGCAAGCAGATCTCTGTGAGTTCAAGGCCAGCCTGATCTACAAGACAGTAGTTCCAGGACAAGCCCCAAAGCTACAGAGAAACCCTGTCTCGAAAAACCAAAACAGAAAGAAAGAAAAAAGAAATAAAATGAAAATGAGAAAAAAGGAAGAAGAGGAGAAAAAAAAAAGAAAACATGATATAGAGCTAGAAAGATGGTTCAGCAGTTAAGAGCACTGGCTGCCAGGTTAATTCCCAGCACCCACATAACAAGCAGCTCAAAACCATCTGTAACACAGTTCCATGGGAACTGACACCCTCTCGAGGCCTCCATGGATACTGCATTCATTGTGGTGCACATACATTTAGGCACTCATAAATAAATTACAAAATTAATTAAAAATTTAAAAAATTATCTAATTATTCCACTATTGAGTATCTGACAAAGGGAAATATCAAATGATCATACCAGATTCCTATATGTACCTAACAGATTTTTTTAAAGGCTTTATTTTTGAGTGTTTTGCTTCCATGCATGCGTGTGAACCATGTGCCTGCCTGGTGCCTGCCAAGAGAGCATTGAGCACCACAGAACCGGAGTCACAGGTGGCTATGAATCAACACGTGGATTCACAGAACTAAACCTGGATGCTCTGTACAAGATGCAAGTGATCTTAACTGCTGAGCCAACCCCATAATAGATTTGAGACAGGGTACTGCCATGTAGTCTAGGCTGGCCTCAAATTTGTAATACCACCTCAGCTTTCCTAGTGCTAGGATTACAAGGGTATGCCACCATATCCAGCCATATTTAGTTAGAATTATGCTAATTTAGGTATGTATATTCTATATCCAGCTAGGAAAATACTGTTCAAAAGCACACAAGAAATGTTCTCGATCTAGACCTTCCAACACAGTACCCACAAACTAGTTTCATGAACACTAGCTTGAGATAAGCCAATTATATTTTTTAGCTTTACATAGCTTTAACTAGCCTAATTCAATAAGTACAAAGAACTAGTAACTACAATATTAGATAACTCAAATATTCAGTCTAAGTTTTAACTCTTGCATTATCCCTTGCATTGTTGTGGGAATTCGCTCAGCCAATGAAGTTTCTTAAAGCAGTACATATGGACTCCGTTATACTTTCCTTTGCATTTAACAAAGTACCCAGAATGATCAGCACTTAGTAAATAACTATGCTTGATCTTAATTATTAATAAAAAAAACCTCTGCCCGATCAAAACTGAAAATCGTTTTTAAGTTAGAAAATATTCAATATCTAAAAACCTACTTCCAGTAGTTTTAGTACCAAACACTTACCAAAACATCTTTTACATACTAAATCAAGTATTTCTCGAAATCGATTTGTCATTGGTGGTAGAGGTTTTAGATCAATTTTCCTGAAATCCTCTGGGCAATCGTTTTTTGAATGGCCATCCTTTTTGCAGATGCTGCATACTATTGTTGGCGGCTAAACAATGATTAAAAAACAATCCAATGAACTTTTACGTTATTTCACCACTTAGAAAGCAGATTCAAAAATACAGCAGCAACAAACACTATGTAGTTAACTCAGTTCTGATAACCTATTAATTTGGGAGAGTTTTGTAAAAAGCTGTTATGAAATACAAGTAATATAAAAACTTGTTTTAACTGCTTTCTTCTCCCACCAACATTACATCATTAACAATTTACCTGGAAACATAAGATATAGAAAATAACAGGCAATACAAAAGGTCTGCATTAATTCAAACAGCCTGATCAATTCCCACAGGAAAAACATATACCTTGTACTTATTTGTCTGGGTTCCTCCGCCAATATTAATCTTTATTTTATGTGTATTGGTTATCTGTGCACCACTTGCACATCTGGTGCTCAAGGGCAGAAGCAAGCATCAGATCCCCAGGAACTGGAATTAGACATGATTGTGAGCCCTCGTGTAAGTGCTGGGAATAGAACCAAGGTCTTCTGAAAAAGCAGTCAGTGCACTGCTGGGTCATTTCTCCAGCCATCTATCTGGATTATAAAACAGGTTCTTAGCAGCCCAAGGTGGCCTTAAATTGGTAATATAGACAAGAATGACCTAGAACTTCGGGTTCCCCCTGCCTGTTTCGCGAGGGCTGAGATTTCAGGTATGAACTACCACACTGAGTTTATACAATTCTGGAAATCAAACTTCCACGCACGTAAGTACACTACCAACTGAGCTATATTCCACAGTTCCTACCTTGTGTTTTTAATTTACTAAGACCTAAAAAAGTTATTCATAAAAATATTATAAACTGCATCTTTCTTTTTACTTTAAGTATTTTCTGTCTTAAGAATCAATAAAGGAGCCGGGCAGTGGTGGCGCACACCTTTAAGCCCAGCACTCAGGAGGGAGAGGCAAAGTTCGAGGCCAGTCTGTCTACAAGAGCTAGTTCCAGGACAGGCACCAATGCTACAGAGAAACCTTGTCTTGGGGGGGAGGAAAAAAGCAAACATGACTAAGGAAGATTGCTATACCTCATTGTTATTATGTGTACCTAAAGACTTCCTCCAATGCTAGCCTGGACATCTACATAGCCAGAAACTCTGGATTCAAATTATACAATAAAGGGGACTGCAGAGGAGAGACAACATTTAAGCTCTTGCAGAGAACCTGGATTTGACTCCTAGAACCTACAAGACACCTCACAACCACCTATAACTCCAGTTTGAGTGGGACAGACAACCTCTACTGCCTCCTTAGGCACCAAGCACATATGTGCTGCATATACACACATATAGGCAAACACTCATACACGTAAATTTAAAAAAACTAAACAACAGATTATATACAGAAACTTCTAGAGGAACAATAATATCATAAAACAATTAAATTTATGTGAATATTCAATTAAGAGTACTACACAAATTTCTACCAGCTTTTATTTTCTGTTTTTTGAGACAAAGTCTTACTATACACCTCTAGATGTCCTAGGACTCACTATAGAGACCATGATGGCCTCCAACTCAGAGATCCACTCAGAGCTGCCTTCCAAATGCTGGGATTAAAGACATACCACTATGCCCGCTATCAGTTTTTCAAAGCATTCTGTTCTGCTGTTTTCTAAAATGATATATTTAGAGTAGAAATTCTTTCCTACTGTAAAACATAGTATTAATTTATAGGACAGGCTGTACTCAAAACTGACTGTGTCGTCCAAGTGGGTCTCAAACTGACAATCTCCCTGTTTCGCTCTTCCAAGGGCTAAATTTACAGGCACACCTAGCCAGCTACAACGAATATTTTTTAAGTTACATTTTATTAGTAAAGTAAAAGATATGGTACTTATTACCTTAGTATAAATTTGGGGGAGGGAGGGGTAAGTTATAAGGAATGCAAACTGTACTTCCCTAAGAGATTTTTCTACCAATTTGCCATTAGTTAATCTTTTCAACAGTCTATATAACTAAATACTATAACCTGAATAATATATAATAGATGTATCCTTATAAAAAATAAAGAAATTCTGGCTGGGTGGAGAAGAATAAAAGGAGGAAGTGTGAGATCAAAGGTACAAAATTTCATTTATGTAAAATAAACAGGTTCTGGAAAGTCACTGTGATTAATACTGGGCCTGTGAATAATACTGTATTATGGTCTTAAAATTTTGCAAGGAGATTAAAGTTACCACAAAAGGAAAAAAAGGTAAAGAAAGGACTTTTTGAGATGATGAATATATTTGTGGCATTATCAGTGGTTATGATTTCAGAGGTGTTGACTTATCACACATCAAGTTGTGTGTGCACATGCGTGCGTGCTAGAGTGTGTGTGTGTGTGTGTGTGTGTGTGTGTGTGTGTGTGTGTGTGTGT